TTGATGCTTCTGCAAAAAATGTAAATCATTCCTCCCAGTCCTTGAGCTCTGCAGTGGTCGTACTCATTACCAAGCAAATAAGCCAGTGCCAAATAAACTCGGTTAAGTATCTTCCTTTGCCTACATCTACCGCCCTAGCAACTGTGAGGATCAAGGAGACAGAGCTCAGATTTACTTAACCATGCAGAGTCCAGATGACTAAACGAAGTACACAAAGAAAACCAGGGAAGGGGCTTTGCTATTCTAAGGACTGGAGCTGTGAAGGTGTTCCACTGGATGGCTGGCTCACACAAGTGCCCCAAATTCAAGGGGAATACCACCCCCATCTTTCCTTATCAGCAGTCACTTAGCATGTGGCCAGAAGCATAGACACTGGGGTGTTCCAAATTGCTCAGTTTCCTTATCCATTACATCTGCTGACGGTGCTGTACACACATGCACACATTCATGCTATGGAGGTTGGTTAAAGCTGTGACATGCAGTGGAGAACTGTACACCTATGCCCAGGCTTGGCTTGTTACCTCTGATGTATATGTGGCTCCATTTGGCATCCCAGAAACACCATGTTCATAACAAGGCACCTCACGACTCCATACCTAATTGCTTCTCCTCGCTCCACCCTGTCTAGACACGGATGCTCCAGTCCCTCTCGTCTTCAGTCCTCACCACAACTATGCCTGCCTAATTCATCACTCAGCACTGCTGCAAGTCCACCTCTGTCCTTCCCATGCTGTGGGTGGGTGCTCCTTTAAAAGAGCTTCACAGACCCCCATGTAATATCGATTTTGGGTTTTACTTCTGCAATGTTTTTGCCCTCACAAGCATCCTGACATCTCAGATTATCAACTCCTTAAGGTAAGGAATAGGTGCATCCTCATCTGTAAAATGGGGAAAATACCATGTACTTCAATGTTGTTATAAGCATTAAATGAGGTAATTTAGATAAAGTACATAGCATATTTATGTCACATGAAGGGTGTCCAATACATGCAGTTTCCTTCTCCTCTGACAGGTGTTTTTGGTACGAATGACCTCATTAGGGGCACCTTATGAGATCACCTTGCACAACAGCAGCCAAAAACCCAGAGTGCCTCTATCCCTAGTCCTCCTAGAAGTTCTGAAATCAGTTATCTCCAGACAAGGGGCTTCTTGTAATCCATTATCTGTGTCTCTGGAACTTAACCAAATTTTGACATAACAGGTGTTATTTTTTACCCCAAATCTGCCATACACAGTCAGCAAACACCTCTTCTCCCTCACCCCAAACTCCTAAGCAGGCTGATTTCAGGGTTCAATAGGCATTGGCCGA